GGCCGCCTCTTCCGGCGGTCCCCACGCAAACTTACGTCCCTTACCCGTAAGGAGGTGCAAGGGCCTCGCGATGGTCGCAAAATTCGGTACAAATCTTCGATAATACGAGGCAAATCCCAGAAAGCGACGTACATCCCCCACGGTGACCGGAGTCGGCCAATCTCGGACGCACGCCGTTTTTTCCGGGTCCGTAGACACCCCCTCAGCACTCACGATGTGCCCCAAATAACGGACGGACCGTTGCAGTAGGTGACATTTCTTTGGTTTAAATTTCAAGTTCGCGGAGCGCATCCTCGCGAACACCGTCTCCAGCCGCCTTAAATGTTCATCAAATGTGCGGCTGAAGACGATGATATCGTCCAAATATATGAGACATGTCTCCCACTGCAACCCCGTCAAAACGAGTTCCATGAGCCTTTGAAATGTGGCAGGGGCCGCATTCAGCCCCATCGGAAGGCAGTTAAATTGAAACAACCCCTGCGGCGTACGGAATGCGGTCTTCTCCCGTGAGGGCTCGTCAAGGGGAAGCTGCCAAAATCCCGAAGAGAGGTCCAGTGTAGAGAAATACTTAGCCCCCGACAATGCGTCGAGGGAGTCGTCCATACGCGGCAGGGGATACGCATCTGCCACCGATATCTTATTCAATTTTCGAAAGTCAACACAGAATCGCAATTTGCCATCCTTTTTCTTAACCAAAACCACAGGCGCGCCCCATGGGCTGTTCGACGGCGATATAATATCCGCAGCCAACATATCCTCCACTGCCCCCCGAACGTGTTCCCGCTCGGCCGGACTCATTCGGTGCGAATTCAACCGAATAGGGGCAGCGTCGCCTGTAGCAATGTGATGGTGAAGCAATGAGGTGCGTCCCAAATCCAAATCATTGGAGCTAAACACATCGGAATACGTCAATAACAATTTATGAAGCGCACCCCGTTGATCCACAGACAGGGAAGAATTTCCGTCACATAAGCTAGCAATCCAGCGGTCATCCGAAGCCACAGGCTCGGAAACACCAGCAACCACTCCCTGGCTATGCGCACAATCGTGAGCCGTAAATGCCGTGGTGGCATGTGCCACAACCGTGCCGGCTGGGACACAGACATTTTCCGTACCCGCATTGAGCACCTGCAAAAACGGTAATTGGTCTGGCCGGACGATGGTCTGCGCTCCGACCAGCGCCGATCCGGCCGTTATCGAGGCTGAAGGTGACAACAAGATCCCAACCGCTCCCAGCCGACCAGGCAGGGGCTTCCGATACCGCAGGGGAATAAGCATCTGTGAACCAGGTGGAATATCAACAGATGCCACGGATAGCGCCTGCACTTGTACGGCCGAAGCAGGTCGCCCCCAGGGCGACGGCAGAAACGAAATTTGACGGCCACCCGGCAGTTCAATACAATTCTCATTAATTTTGATCAAAATAGGCATCTTAGCCAGAAAATCAGTGCCCAATAAACAGGGAACTGCCAAGGATCTTGAAATCAACACAACGCCCGAGGCCGACACATCCCCAATAGATATTTTAGCGTCCACCTGGCCCACGATGCCCATACTACCCCCGTTCGCAGCGACGCACGACCCGTAAACCGGACGCACGGCCCCGGGTGGGATGCCTAACAGATGAAAAATGACATCCGAAATAATAGTCGCGGACGCCCCGGAATCGACCAAAATGCGCACGTCCACCCCTTGTATAGACCCCGGCACGGTGGACGAACCCGTAGCGGCCGCAACAACCCTCCGTGCCAATTTGCGCCACTGCGTCACAGAGCGACAAGGCCCCGTCGAAGGTCCCTCTTTAACAACAACACTATGACCGCACAACGAAGGTGATGGGTGAGGTGTAAAGCCTTGCCGGGTGTCTGGTGCGTGCCGACTTGCCTGTTTCGGTGGATCCTTGGGCGGCTTGGCCGGTAATGAGGCCTCCTGTTGTGGCGGACCCGGGATGCGGGCCCAGCAGTCCTTCGCGTAGTGGCCCTTCCGTCCGCAGCGGAAGCAATCGGCGTCGTTGCGCCGAAGCGCAGGCCTTGCATCGCGCCGCCCGCGTATCGGCGGTGCAGCACGAGAGGCCGGTCCACCGCGGCCTGACCATGGCACCGAGGCGGCCGTCAGCTCCTGAGGGCCCCGCTCATCCGGCACGTATACCGACTTCGTAGGGTCCCAACCCAGAGCGCCACCCTCCGCGACGGGCCCCCCTGTCCACGCCGTGACCTGTTTCCATCGTCGTAGGTTGAATTGTGCATCCAGACATTTCGCCGCCGCCCGGGAGGTGAGCTTCTCATGCCCGCACACCGGCATGGGAATCCCAAGATCCCGCGACAGCTCGAGCATCTTGCCCAAGATGAGAGGCTCGAGCAGGTCAGGTGTTGTATCTGGATACGCGGCCATAGCCAAATCAAGCACTGCACCCCTGTACGCCACAGGCGACTCCTCGGGCGCTCGTTGTCGTTGAGCGAATCGCCGATGCGCGTCGTCAGGTGGCTCGTAGGCGTCGGCCATTTCTTGAAAAACTCCATATAATGTCCTCTTCTTCTCGGCCTTAATGGAGCGAAAAAAACGAACAGATTCGTCGTCCAGAAGAGTCGGCAACACTTCCAAGGCCTCAGCATCGGTCCATCTCGCAGAACGGACCGCCGCTAAAAATCTGCAGGCGAAAGCGCTCCAGTCGCCCCCAATGGCGAATTCCTTGACCGTGGTGAGATGGCGACTCCGACTTCGCTTCACTCCGCCCTCCGCCGATGGTTCCTCCGGAGGCAAATTCAAAATGGCGTCGAATCGCGGCGTGGTCACGATGGCGGATTCCCGCCGCGGCACGCGCAAGATGGCGGCCTCCTGCCGCGTGGCCCATGGCGCCGGGAGTGAAGAACCCGTGGCGGCCTGTGGAGCACTCTCCGCTCTCTCCGTCGCCGTGCTTGGGGTGACGAGATGACACAATTGGCCCAGGGCGTCCTTGAGAGTCTCCAGTTGCTCAGCCACCTGCAGCCATCGCCGATCAGCGTCTGATGGTGTCGGCGGCCCTGACACTGTGGCTACATCTTCCACTCCCGTCCCCGCACTCGTTTCAGCAGGGCTCTCCTCCACCACCCTGGCAGGATCCATGTTTGGAGGGAAGTCTTCGTCTTCGGACGAAGAAGCCGATGCCGGCGCTGGAACATTTTTCTTTCTCACTTGTTTCGACATGCCGTTGCACTTCCGACACCAATGTAATAAAGGACTCGACCACGATGTCTGGCTTGGTGTCCTTTATTCGGTTCTTCTCTCTTAACCCGCACGGCTGTCCTTCTATAAGACTCTATACTGACACTGATACTGCTCTCCTGCAGTTTCTCCCCTCGTCGTTCTCTCAGCCTCTCTCTCCTCTCGTCGCTCTCGTAGCCTCTCCCTCACACACAGCCTCGCCGGCTGTGTTCCCCGCAGCTCCTCGTCCGCCTTCTCTCTAGCCGCCCCACCGCTGTCTTCTCTCGCAGCTCCGCTGGCTGCTCCCTTAGCTGGCCACCGCTGGCCGCCGCTGCCACCCCTTGGCTTTGCCCACGTGGCCTTACTCTGGTCCAGTCCCACTCGTTCTGCCTTCCTCTTCCGGTCCCCTCCCTTAAGAACCTTAACCTTTCCTCCCACGTCACCTAACTCCACCTCTCCGTGACGTCACATCCGGGAGGTCGCCCGCGCCCGCATTACACAGATAAAACAAGCCACTGATGTTGGCCTTGACAAGAAACTGAACCCAGCCAACCACTACGCCACCACTCCACCCCACCTTCAATTTCTTGTATGTTTCACTTTTTTAAGCGAATTTCACCTTTTCTGCTTATCCTCTAACAATGTCACGTGAAATTGTTGAATATAGTCGAGATTTAGTTGGACTTAAAATGTTTTAAAACTTTCCGTGACTTGACGTAACACAACGGGTCTGCATCCCATCTCCTAGCTAAATAAAGGACGCTGCTACTACGACCACGACCGCTGTCACTATCAATACCGCTGGCGGTATTCAGAAGGGCCAGAGATGACATCACCCGGGTTGGGGAAGAGTCGTCTTGGCAAGGTCTTTCCTCACCCACAATTGTTGAGGTATTCACAGACTGAATCCCCACCACCAAAACGAAAGATTTAGAGCATTGCTACCGTGGTATACTAGAAACGTTTACACGCGGGAGGAGACCAAGGCACTTTTAATAACATTCATGGGCTGCTCCGCGCTCAGTGCCTCCGCGCACGTTGTGTGGATTTTCAAAACACGCGTGCTGGTGTAAATACGTGCTTTCGTCTGCTCGCATAGTGCAGGATTAAGTGCGTCTGTGTGTGTGGGGGTGGTGGCACCCCGAGTTCGATCCTTGTCCACGGTTAACAACAGTGACGATTACCTGAACCGGTCCTGGGCCTCCCCTAAGTCGACTCAGCCTCAAATCAGTACTTTGTGCAATATGTAAACATCACTACTCGGAAGAAAAAGGTGGCTGGGCATGGTCCTGGCCACCTGCCCCATCGTGTGCCGTGCCAGTCTTCATAGGTGACAACTAATAGCACTTGCTCCTACAGTTTGTTATGGTTATATGGGGGATCTTTGTCTTGTGTGTATGTGGGGAGCGATGGGGCAATCACTCGTGCACAGCACGATGAATGCAGTGACCTCATCATTCCAATTCCGGGCCAAGGATAACATCTGTGGCAAGTGGTACGTGAACCTCTCGTGGTACCTGATGTGCTGTGTCAACAAATGCCACCACTGGGGAGATGAATGCGGCCAAGCATGGCATTGGTTCCAAAACCACCTTCACTCACTGAAACCACTTTTGTTGCAACAGCCTGTGAAGAAGTACACAGGGGATCTTTGTCATGTGTGATGCTATGGCTATGGTGTGTGCACACGTGTGCACGTGTTTCCACATCCGTTTCACCATCTGCCTCCCCAGTGGCTACCATGCAGTCAGTGCGAGGTCTAAGTGCGCACGTCGGTATGTGTGCGCGCCAGTGAGGGAGGGAGGGATCATATCTCTCACCTCATGAGTGGGTGGAAGATGACGGTGATGTTCCGTGCGCCTGGCTTGCACACAAACTGCACCCCTCCGCCTTCGATCAGGTTGTCATCCGCTCCACCTGAAGCAGGGAGGGCGTGTGGGAGGGAGCAGAGGAGGAGAGAAGAGGGTGATGTTTAGTGGAGGTGAGCACAGAGGCGGGCGGAGATGTGCGGGGGCAGCTCAGCACACTCTCCGCACCTTCACTCTGGGAATACAAGCTGTAATCTTTTGTTATCGGCTGCAGCAGTAGCTGTCTCTCACACGTCTCCAGTGGCTAAGAGGCCCTCACCATGGTGGTTGTTTAAGTGAGGGGGAAGGGGGGGGGGATCGCGGGTCATGACGGGGGCCGAGCATCTTCCACCGGCGCTCGGCACCGTGGAAACGATCGCAGCGCCGGCGTCTAGATGCCGAGGGTCCGGGCGCGAGCCGGTGCCAAACAAAACACGCGGCCTCACCTATCGCACATGCCGGGGCCCCCCCTTTTGCTCCAAACCTGTGGAAATTGGATGTGTCAGAGGGGGCACACGTGGGGATGGGCGATAAGGCTCGACGCCCTGCCCCCGGTGCTCCGGCCGAGGACTCATCAGCGCTGATAATTACAGCGGCCCAAAAAAAAAAACTGTGCGCGGTGAAAAAAAAAGGGCTGAAAAAATCCAGAGGCAATATCTCGTGGTGTACGCAGGCGGGCGGGCGAGTGGCGGCGCGGCCTCGTGGCACGTGGTGGTAAAGCCCCAGTGGGTGGAGCTGGGGAAATGAAATGTGTAAATTCTGATTTAATGAGGCCGGGGTGGAACGGGCCCGTACGCGATTGCGCGACATGAAATGTGTTTATTACAATGGCAATAATTCGCTTTGTTGCCGGTTCCAGCGGGGACACGGGGAACGACGGAGATACACGGCGAGGTCATTTAGAATTTCCGTAGCCGATTGTTTCGTCTAGTCTTGTCGCGTTTGTTTATTATATATTTCCCCCCCCCCTCCTCCACCGCGCAAGACAATAACCTTCAAACAAGGTGGATGAGTGGAAGGTAGGGGGTGGAGGCGGAGGAGGTGGGGGGAAGGGCTTCGAAGCTTGACAAAAAAAAATCTGCCATGAATATTCACAACTTCACGCGCACTTACAAAACACGTGTCACGACCCGACTGACAGGCAAACCCCTGGGAGTTGAGCTTCACTGGAATTTATTTCTTCTTTCAATTTTACGTAGAAAACATAAAAAATCCAAAAAAAAAGGGTCTCGTGTATTCACCCTCCGCTTTTTCACCTTGAAATCGTCACGCGCCAGCAGACGGCGGTGGTGCGAGCGGGACCGCGACTCGACGGGGCGTTGGGCGCCAGCGAGGGGCAATTACCGAAACCCGATGGGCCTCGGCGCGCGCGCAATGCGCGCGACGCACGCGTCTCGGCCGCCCCCAACGGACGTCGCGCGAGCTCCGGCAGGGTCGACGGAGTCTCGCTCGCTCCGGCGCTAAAACCCGTTCCGCTAAATTTGTCCGACCTTGGTGCGACGCGCGTGGAGGTTCGGGGGACGAGCGGCCCGCTCTCTCCCACGGGATCGTAGGGGGACGCGGCAGCGCACGTCCCTGCGACACGCAAGGGGTTAACGCTATAACGCCGCGTTTTTTATTTTATTTCTTTCACTCTCACGAGCCAAGGTTGTGGTCGCCCCGACTCGCGGGATGGATAATCAGCCGTTCATTGTGCTGAAGACGAACGACGAAAATAAACAAAAACAGGAATTAACAATCGGAGTGACACTCTTAAATGACAGTCCCCGAGCGGCTCGGCACGAAGCGATACCGTCTCTGCGATGGCGAGGACAGACAGGGGCTAAACAAATGCTGGCGCCGAACATGGTTATAATGGAAAGTGAAGAAATGTTGTGCTGTCAAGATCGAAGCCGCAACGGTATAGCCGGTGACAAAGGCGAGAGGCGGAGCGCGCTGCGAGCAGATAATTTTAATACGCCGTGATTTCCTGCAATGGGCGTTTTGCAGTCTCCTCTCCTTTCTTGCCGCGCCTCCACTGGCTTCCCTTGAAATATTACTAATATGCTTCAATATTTAACGCGAGGCCCACGCGTGCGAGGGCGAGCGAGCGCACGCACCCCTCCCCCTCCCGCGTGTGCGCGCATGTGCGAGTGAACGCACACTATGCACGCGCACGAGTGCTGCCACCCTTTTGATGGTTTTGCTAATTTCTGAATCGCTTGATGAGCGCAAGGAGATATTATTCATAATCGCGTAAAACAACTCTCCACCCGCCGCGCCACCCACGGCACTTCGATGAATTGTCACGTTTAGATTCAAAATAATCAGACATTTAAAGAAGCTGCCGTCACGTCAAAAACCATCTCTCGCGCACATCGCATCTGCGAGGTAAAAGGCGAGTGTTGAGGTCACGTTTGAATTTTGAGAGAAAGAGACGTCTTTGTCCTTCAGTAGCTTCGGAACCAGTGAGTTCCAAAGCGAGGGGTCCAGCGGGTGCAAAAGCTCGTGTCCTTTATGCGGTGCTTGCCTTGGCTGGCACGACCAAGAGGTTAGAGTTCAATTCAAAGAGCAATCGATTACTTTTGAAATCTCTTCTTTTACCAGTTCTTGTTTGTCATAGCCCCCAACTCATTTGTACAATATCATTCCCCTTATCACCCTAATTGCATAAATAAGAAATTAGTAATACTCACAGAAATATATCAGAGCATTATCTTGAGGAGAATACATTTTAATTGTCTATCTCGTCATCCTCATGATTGTGGATGAGCATGATGGATGTTCCAACTTTCGCTATCTTTCAGCGTCTCCCACGGAGAGCCTCGTCCTACCGCATAACAGCATCCCACCAACAGCCTCGCACTGTCCTACCGGCTTTCCCTCACTGTCCCAACTGTCTCACACTGTCCCAACTGTCTCACACTGTCCCAACTGTCTCACACTGTCCCACCAATCGATGCATTTCCTTCCTTGTCTGCCCTTCCCCTCCTTCCACTGTCCCTGGGGCTATCATCTTCATCCCTCTCAGGACGTGCCCCACATACGTCACCTTCCTTCTTATCACACTTCTTGGAAACTCTCGCTTGTAGGAGAAATTCTCTCTGAGCACATCTTCACTGCCGACTGTAATTGTCCCAGGGACAGACCGACCCCAGAGTTCACTGTTCATCATCAGAGGCCGATTAATGCATGCCTGCAGCTGGCTGCAAGCCTGCGGATACCATTGTGGGAGAGCAGGAAGGTGGCAGCACACTTCATTTCTTGGGGCCGCAGGGCTGGCCCATAACACTATCCCTGTCTCAGAGCCACACGTGCCCTTAATCCAGACCTGACAGCGTGGATTTAAAGCAGGATGCCGAACATCTGATAAATCAAGCCGGCAAATCAAAAAGCAGAAACCTCCGGTAAGTGGGACATCCAGCCACAGTCTCCTTCCCTTTCCCCCGCTGCTGCCCCATCGCTCGCCGAGCTCATTGGCTCTTCCTTAATTTCCCTACTCCACGGCCGGGCGCTACAACGGATTGTGCCTCGCCCATGCGCTGACCCTTGTGTTGCTGTACTTCGCCGGCACCGTTTACATTTGAGTCGCTGAAAAACCTAAATAAAAAATATTTCTCGTCAAAGTTGGACACGGAGAAAAACCATGCATTGCGTTCAAAAGACACGCGCTTCAGTACCGCACAGGCGCATCAGCTACAATGCACCCCAACGTTTTGCAAACACATAGCGGAAAATAGCAAGTTTCTAACATTCCGCCGGTGCGTGCGCACGCGGCATCACAGGCATAAATCAACGTTAATTCACTCCCGCGCAGATGTGGCGCAGTCGCCCCAGCATTAGCCACGTGTCACGGTGACTTCGGCTCTGATAAAGGGATCGTTAAAATTAAATAAGTGTTGGCCGCGGCGGTGACGACAGATCAGCCTCTTTACAGACTTGTCACTCTCTCTCCGCCAGCCTCTGCCCCGTGGCACCAGAGCTGCACCACCGGCCACCGTTGCCGCGATAAGCCCAGAGAAACCGAAAACCTCTCTTCGGCGGAATCAAGCCGGGTCTTCATTCTCCTGGGATGCGGCGGAGGAGCGAATTTTCTTTCTTTTTTTCTTCATTTGCTTTTTCCACTGCCACGCTTACCACCCCCTGGCCCCCTCCCCCAATTCACACAGCACCACCCCCACCCCAACTCCTCACTAGAAAATCCTATTTATTACACAATTAGTTGTCATATCATGGGACAAAAAAGGAAATTTCCATTTTAAACTGTCGCAGATGACAGTGCACCACCCTTTGTCAGAAAGTGGAACTGGAAAACGATGTTCCGGGAATATATCTCAAGTCACTTAACCATGCCAGGGGCACATGTTTTATGCCATATGTCCTGCAAAGAGGGTTCACTACGTGCCAACTGAACTAATTAACGTAATGATCAAAGCCAGTATAAGCCAAAAAAAACATACGATGCGTTTGTTTGGTGTATGCGTGTATGCAGTCAGATCCTGGCCTCAGACCACAAACTCATTACCCTGTGCATGGCTAAAAAATAATTGTGCACAGACCTCAAATCTGCCAAAGTACATGACAAACTAAGCATATTGTTTTTTGCGCAATTGTTGGTGACAGGGCAGAGACCATCAACTCGCGACACTTGAAAATGCGGTTTATTTACCAACGAAAAGTGAACGTGATTCACGGCTCAAATGAGCATTGAAGTGATGCTCGGTCTCCAGTTTACAGCCCAGAGCCGGTGGTGGAAATTCTACTATCATATGGTGGGGTCGAGTATTGTCAGAAGACAACCGCCCTTGACTTCCACGAAAATTGGGACTCGTGTTATCGATCCCAGAGAGGAGAGATGATGGGCTGAGAGTCAACCCCCCCCCCCCCGCCAACCAGGTGTTGAACTCGCATCCTTCTGATGGTGAACCGCTCGGTCTACCGCTAAGCCGCCAGGCCGGGCGAAATCCGGATTTAAATCCAGGGTCTCATCACGTGCCGGCTCAGCGCCTCTGCACACAGCAACCGTCCCCCCCGGCCCCCACGAGCCACTCGGCCACCTCCGCATGGGGGCTAATTTTAATTTGCGGAGAG